AATATGCTTTGTTTAATAAATTAAATGTAATTGAAGTGTTTATATTTTTGAATTCATGTTGGCTTTTTATGTAACATGTTTTTTTACAAATTAACGAATTAAACAAAATAAAACACATTAAATGACATTTTAAAACTCTAATTTTTCCAATTTAAGAATATACATGATTAGCTTTATACAAAATAAACTATAAAACCTGAATAACTTTTGATTTAATGATCAAATTTACACAAAGATGAAATCTTAATTTTTCTGGATGCTAAACTTAGATTTGCTAATTTATTGTAATGAATTTGAGACGATATTTTAAGTTTCCTAATCACACAAAAAACATACTTTCTTTGAATTCGATACCCTTTTTTTTCGATGGATTTAGATTTTTGAACCTCAATATTTTTTTTTTCGAATGGCAGGCATTGAACTTCATTCGTTTTGGATTTTTTGATAGAACTAATCCACAATTACGTTACACGGAGAGGACAAACACAGAAACCTTCCACGGTTAGCCTGACTGCAAGAGGACTCTAACTCATGTTCTGTCTGCCACTGTGGATATTTTTACGTCAGCACTGTGGTCGGTTGATTCGTATCGACCAGCCATTGCTGAGGTCGAACCCCGGGACACCACTTAGGGAGGTGAGCACTCCATCCCCTGAGCCAGCCTGGCTCTATTTTGGTTTACAGTAGCTATCAGATGTTTCGATTATTCTAAGGTTAAAAAGTGAGCAATTTTGAAAAACGTAACAAAAAAAAAATTTGAAAAACTTGCCAAATTTCGACTTGAGTTTTCGAGAAAACTCGAAGTTTTCGTGCAAAATTTATATCATTTTATTGATTTACCACCAATTGAGCTGCAATTTCTTATACTTCTTTCGTAAAACTCTGGGAAAAAATGTAAAGTTTTTTCGACTTTGAATTAATTTTAAAATTATAGATTATTTTTAAAAAAGTAATCTTAATCACTAATATGAAGCTTATTTATTCTAGTTGGCCAGCAAGGAGCAATAAATATAACTGTTAGAGTTCACATTAAATTGAATTTATGTCTTGTTCAGGATTTAATGTCCCGCACTGGACGGATTGTAAAGATACGGTTCCCAGTAGAACACCGAAGTCAAGCATCACTGACTGCGGTCAGTAAGCGGGTGGTTGACCACTTTGATCAGCCTACGTAGGGACCGAGAGTGCGCGGTATCGGTCCTCATTAAACTGTTCTACTGATAAGTGCTCGACTTCGTGCACAGGTCATCGGGCTACCAAAGCAGGGTAGCCATCACCTCTGTAGAGAATCAAAATTGCGATGGTAGGTCATCGGATCATCCTTTTGGATGTTTCCCAGGCCGTCGCCAATAGCCCATTGTGCAGCGCTGGTGCTACGTTAATAAAGTACCTACATATCTCAGGATTCAATAACAAATATAGTTTCAGGTTTTGTTCAATTGAGTACTTGCAACTCGAGAAGAGGACGATTACTGATACACAGTCACGTGATATATGATCTCAGCGCCAGCTGATCGTTTATAAACAAGATGGCGTGTTAAAATCGGGCTAAGTTTCTCAAGATAAGTTAGAATGTTAAATAGCATGGAGTTGATTAAATACAACGCTGTATCGCACATTGAATTTGTTAAAATATAATTCTGTTTCTTCAATATCTTTTACTTAACTTAGATTTATTATTTCTTTATGTATTTTATTATAACCATGATATATTTTAGTTTTGTGTACCTGGCCATTTGGGTGCTTAATTAGTTTGTTTATGTTTTACATGGCTTTGTTCCTGTTTTTGTGTTAAGTATATATATATATATATATAGTGAAATAGTTAAGTATTATATATAGTGAAGTATTATATATAGTTAAGTATTATACATAGTGAAAAAATTTAAATCTTTGTGTAAGAATATAGAATGTGTCACTTAAGAGAATTGATACTTGACGGGCTTGGTTTTCTCGCAATAGAATGGAAAGAACAGTTGCTAACGTAAATGAATGCTGCTACGTCTCAATCACTAATCGGAATCGAGATACCCACACTACGTTACTTGCAGGTATCCCATTACAAGCTATTTTTATAAAATAGTTTATCTCCTTATACACTGTCATATTTTATCCAAATTTTTAAAAAAATTCTTAGATAATATAATTCTACTTTAAAGTCAGAGAGGGGCCATTTTTCAACAAATGATTTGAGATATATTCTTCATAATCCTTTTCAAACTTTACACTAAGATTAAAAGAACAAATTTTAATTTTGGCTTAAAATTTGCGTTACAAGCAAATATCATTCAGCGGAGTACCTACTTTACAGATTACTATTTCCCTTGTTAAAAAACAAAGAACATATATCGATCCACTGAAGTCAATAATACCTCTGATTTGATTACACTTTTCTCAGTTTCTTCAAACTAAATGTAAGTAAGGAATTTTCATCACTCGCTTGGCGAAAACAGAATCATTTGGCAAAATTTTTTGTCAAAGCTAAAATTTAAAATTTTATTTTTCCGAATAAAAAGAGAAATAGACAAAATGTTTTACACTTTAATTTTAAATTTTAAATTCTCTTTATATAAGAATCAGCCTGATTGTCGAATGACAAGTGAGGTAACTCCTCATTTTAGTTCTTCTTTAGTTTTCTTCACGTTCTTTTTTTAAAATTATTTTAATTCGTTGTCATATAATTTTTATGATGAGCTTTAAATGTTCATATCAAACAAGAAGAACATTGATTTTTTAATATTCATTTATCATACTTAAATTACATTAACAAGAGTTAAATTAGTTTTACAAAAGATTTTAACTTATATTGCCTTTCTTACACAAATTCTGATATCAAATTATGTCTGTGATGGCCGATAATACAAAAATACTAAGTACCGAAAGTTTTATTTGCAAAATAACTTAATTTTTTTTAAATTTTACTGAAAATATTAGTTTAGGAAATAAATAGTTTTGCTAATTGTGTGCGTAATGACCAATACAGTTCATAGAATTACATTTAAAATACTTAGGGAAAAATTTCAAACACTTCTGCACTAGAGTTCTAATTTTGCAAAAAAAGTCATTTGAAAAAATATTTGTAAAGTGTAAGAATTTTGAAGTTTATTAAACAAAACAATACACGTCTGTAGGATAAATAGTTCTTGGCAACGCATTCAGGTTAAAAATGCATAATTGGATAATTAGAATTTAATAATTACTTCGATCTAGAAAATTAATTTTACATTACGATTTTTTACTCTCAAGAAATTATCCGCTAATTTTTTTTTCCGAATTGGAATAGTTAAAGTTCATCAAATATATACTTGATTTTATTGTAATTATTTATAATTTGAAGCGTCAAAAACTTTGGCACAATTAAATAGTTTAAAATAATTTAAATATTTCTGTACTTTTATTATTATTTTTATTATTTATTTCTTTTTGACTTAAGAAAAGTATGCTTGCGCAAAGTGTTTATGGTAAAAGCAATATTAAAGTAATCGAGTTTTTGTAACGTAATAATGTTTTGTTTAAATAAGCTTAAATCAGGGAGAAAAGTACTGTGTAAAAGTGTTTTTTCTGCCGATGCATACATGAAGTAGGAAAGCTTCAAATAGCAAATACCTTTTTAGATTTGGATGAGAATACACAATGAATCAGTTTGGCGACACGGAATTTTCGAATTTAGCTCCAAATTCCTTAAATTTTCGAAAAGCAAACAACCGTTTGACTGTCGACTTTTTGGTCAATCCAATTTATAAATTTCACATTACGTCATAATTCTTTATGGAATAGAAATTATTTTATTAATATTTTAAATAATTTTATCAGAAAAACCTAATTAGAATAAAAAAAGCTGAAATATTAAGGAATAATTAAATAAAATTCACATGAAAGAATAATTAAATATAATTCACGATTTTTACGAACTTATGGAACATTCGTCCCGCAGTGGACTGATCGTTAAGATACGGTTCCCAGCAGACTACCGAAGTCAAGTATCACTGGCTGCTGTCAGTGTGCTGGTGGGTGACCACTTGGATCAGTCTGCGTAGGGACCGAGGGTGTGCGGTATGGGTCCTCGTTAAACTGTGCTACCGTAAAGTGCTCGACTTCGTGTGCAGATCGTTGGGCTACCAAAGCAGGGTGCCATCCCCTCTGCAGAGAATCAAAATTGTGATGGCATGTCTTCGCATCATCCTCATGGGATGTTTCCCAGACCGCCGCCAATAGCCCATTGTGCATCTCTAATACGAGGCAAATGAACTACAACAACAACAATAAAGAACATTCTTACAGAATCTGGTTTGATTATTCTACTTAAAATGCACTAATCAAATTCTCAATTTCTAAATATATATTTCATATATTTGAAGAAAAAAATTACAATAAAAAATAATGTCATTGCAAGATCGGAAAATATTTTGCATTAAAATGAAAGATTTCAAAACATTTTATTTCGATACAAAATCGTTAGTACAATACAAAATCGTTAACAAATACAAAACCGTTAACAATGTTATATTATGAGTGTTTCTATAAGCATCCGAAACATTTTTAAAAGTCTTTCTTATCAGATTTGTTTTAAGCACTGAAAGTATGTTAAGAACAAATTATAAAAATTTAAAAAAAGTTTGATTTTTACATTTTTAAAATTTCGATACTTTCAAAATCTTGTTGACTTAAGAATGCTATTTGTTTTAACTTCGAATATATGTACGATAAGTTACGTGCTTGATTTATTTTTATATTTGCGATTGGGAATAAAAAATTGTCTCTAAATAAACAAGATAATTTTATTAAAAAAAAACTGCATTTAATTTTTAATGTATCAGCTATTATCTGTTAACTTTTATTTTCAAACAAAGATAATGTAAAAGAAGAAAAGAAAATTGCCAGAAACGAAAATCGGTAAAGAATTGGTTGCTATTTGACACGTGACATCGATTTAAGTGACGTCAGATAGTCAACAATTCCTCTTTTCTCACTAATCTATTTCCCCGTATTTCATTCATTCTCCAAAACACTCTCTCCAGGAAAATTCGATTCCCGATTGTCCAGGTTAGAGAAGAAAATTTACATTCGATTTAATATTTATGCACGAATCGAGTTACAGTGGCGCCGGTTAAGATAACATCGGGTATGCATGTAATTTTTGTTTGTTTTTTATTTAATATGTCTACTTCTGTTTATTAATCATCCTTTATATCATTATCTGTTTATTAATCATCATTATGTCAGTCATTTTATTTACCTTATCTTCAAAATTGTATTAGTAATCTTTAAAACTGAAAGTATCACAAATAATTTTAATTTTTTTTATCAATATTTTTAGAAAATAGAAAAATTAACGGTTTAAGCTTGTTGACATAAATCCTTACTTTCGACTAAAAAGAGATGTTTTAAAATAATAAAAATTGTTTTTAAAACGTAATTCAAATTAATGTTATACATCATTTAACGTAATTTGAAAGTTTAAAAAAATACATAGATTGTGTGAAGTTAAAATCGTTTTTTTTAGTTTGTTTACAACTCAAATGATATTTTCTGAAAAATTCAATGTTTATGTATAATTAATATGAGTATCAAAACTTCAATTTACTATTACTGATAAAATAAAACTTGCACAATAGCCTCTCAATCAAGAAAAGCATTATCATTACTACTCATTATCTTTGAAATTTTCAGAGAGCTATCACGCATATAAAGTATTGCTATATATTTTTTTTATTGTACTAGAATAAATAGCTCTATAAAACACGGTAATTTGTTCAAAGGAAGCCTCCGCCTACTTCGGCACTATGAACAAACAAATATCATCAAGAAATAGGGATGGGAGAAAAAATGTGAAGTATATTATGGAAATGGATAATAACTGGAAGCTTTTATTTATTTATTTATTTATTTATACATTTGTTTATTTAAAAAAGTTACATTATTAAAAAAGCTGTTTTACTAAGAATATCAAAAACATGCAGCAGTTTGAATTACTTGATGCATATCTGTGATTATATTATATATTATGCTGTTAATAGATACATTTGGAAAAGATTAAAGTAAAAATAAAAAATCTATATAAATTAAGAAAACAGAATAGTATTTAATTAAGCACGATTAAAGTGATTTATCAGATACGTCTAATGTTTGTTCAAGCTTATAATTAATTTTATTTAAGAATTTTATCTGTAGATATAAATAAAAAAGTTTAATTTTAAAAGTTAATTAGTATGGAAATATCTAACTAAAAAATATCTTCTGTGTTCGATACAGAAAAAGCGATATTCTTTATAAGTTTCTTTAGACACGTTTTAGGCTATAAATCTTTTGAAGTTCATGAAGAGGAAATTCAAAAGGGGTAAATAAATAAGACAGTTTCTAAAATTATGTTAATTAGCCTGAAATATAGAGTATATTTCATTTGGTCTTTTCATTTTAGATATGTATTTTTTGATACATACTAGTTGGTTTTGAAAAAAGTGCAAAAAATATCTAGGATAATAATAATTGACACTTCATTCTGAGTTTTGTTTATGGTACTTGTTGGTTGTACTGCAATAAAGGTATTTGATGTATTAATTTTAACGCACTAGTTACTTATGATAAATTGCATAAAAAGTTAGGATTTTATGGTGTACTCATTTTTTTAAAAAAATATTTAGTATTTTCATTCGATACGAGATTAATATTTATAAAATTTCAATGAATGTAAAAATTGTTATTTTGCAAAAAAAATATATTTATGTAATTTAAAATAGTTTCAATATTCAAATTACATGCATTATAACGAGTTCTGCAACAAATCATAATTTTTATTTCAGAAATATTCAATATTTTGTACATGCTTTAAATCAGAAGTTTAAATCATTATTTCTGTATAAAAAATTATTATTTTTTTAAAATTACTGAAATATCGTTTCGTTTAAACATACCGTCAACTATTAATTTATGTCAGGTAATATTATCAATATTTATCTCAAATTAAGTCAAAACTAATTATTTTGTAAAGTGAATTTTGAAAATTAAACAATAGTTTCCTTTTGTCGAGAAACCGTTCCTAAGCAGGTTGCTAGCATTTTAAGTAGAATGAGTTTGAATGGGTTTCTAAATATGAAATGTAAGAAACGTTTTATAAATGTGTTCACAAACACGCTTACAAAATAATAAATAGTGACTTCACTACTTTAGTTTTAAAAAATATTTAATACTGGCTTCATTAATTTCGTTTAAAAAAATAAAATCAATGGTATAAAATTATAATTTTTGTATAAAACTTTATGTATTTTCTGAAAAACTCTTAATGAACTCAAATCTCTAAACAATAACTTTGTTTTGTATTTTATATCTTAGAAGAAATTATCTAAATTTATTTGAATATCACGTGGTAATTTTTATAAAATGCACATTATATACTTTAAAGTACACTTTAAATGCATCAAAGTCTTAAAAATATTTTTTGGCTTTTCAAAAATTCACTAAAGGAGTTCAATTCCCGAAATTATATTATATTGTTTTAAAAAACACTAATTTTTAAAAAAAATACTCTTTGTGAATTCTCTTTAACTGTATTCAATTCAACGAAGTTTCTTATATATTCCTTGTCTTTTATTATGGCTATTTTCTTTGTTAAATCTCCGAGAACTTTTTTCTTCTTTTCTTTGCTGCAGTAGCCACGAAAAACTGTTCTGGACAAATGTATGTCTTTGCCAGAATTTGAAAGAATGTGATCAAATATTTCAGATATAGTGATATTTCAATCCAGCATCCATGAAAAATTTGTTAAAAAATTTTTTAAAGTTATTTTATTTTTTTAAATAAAAATGCTTATTCATCAAACAAATCCGCGTTCACACCCCGAGAAAAAAAAGTATGATCAAAACTTCAAGAATATGACAAAATTTACTGTGTTTCTAGCTCTAAGGGAACACCAAAAAGTTCGGTAATTTTTGCCGAAGTGCTTTGATAGTAATTAAGGTAAAATTAACTATAAAATGTGGTTTTATAATATATGATAAAATTTGATAAATGTGATAAAATTCGGTAATTTTATCACGATACCATAGAATGGCATAAAAACCACTTGTTCAGTTAAATTTATTTTTCACTTTTATATCTTTTACTAACTGTGTAGTAATAAGAACTATAATTTTAAAAATTAAAATTTCCAATGAATAGTTATCCTATGAACTATAAATTATCATATGAATGGTTTAAATGCCGTATATTACGGTTTTATTGACCAGAATTATTACCAGAAATATCATTACCATACAGTACGATAATTTTACTACAATTTTTTTCTCCGTGTAAGAGAGCTTTGATCTTAATATTTCAAAACATGAAAAAATCGCCAGCATGAATACGAATGCATTTTATCAACAACAGGAGTATAGACATAGGCACACTGACCAATAAATTAGAAACCTGAGAGATTTTCTTGAAAATGCTCACTGACGGTGAAGTATGCGAAACTGCGAAACCTGTTTATAACTCGTCTGTATCCTCATCTGAATGTAAGAATATATATATTTACATTCGATTTAATATTTATNATATAGATAAGCTGTGTCTGTGCATTTCACTGTAAAAGCAGTAGAATTAAAAAGAAAAAAAAACGACAGATCTTTAAAAGGACTTATTTTTGGAAAAAAGACATAGTTTTGGCATCAGTTTAGTGCCAAAATTTCATCCCCATTCATAATTCGAATGATTTCATCCTTATTATCTAAAGTACCACTGATTTCGACCAAGAGAATGTTTGATGTCCTGAAGGAACGCTTTGGATACCACTTTCTGATTCTGGGGTGCCCAGAGACAACTGAAATGGGAGTCACTTGGTCACCATATTCTCCAGATCTAAACACATGTGACTCATTTTTGTGACTCTAAGGCAATGTGTACAGATATGACCCCAAAATCATTGCTGAGCTGAAAACTGCCATTCCAGAGAATAATAACTGTTGATTTAGATGTTATTGCATAAACGTGGGCTTTTTAAGTAAAGAAAAGTTATGATATCTATTTAATATTTTATGCAACTATTTCTTAAAAATCAATAGTTGATAAATAGGCACAACATATAAATAACAGTAAAATTAAAAACTCATGGAATGTGTCTAGATGTTTATAAAACAAAATCTTAAAATAAAAATTTACTTCTTAAGATATTTATATCACTATTATTAGAAGAAAAAAAACTTTTCGTTTTTTCATAATTTTCTACAACTTAATATTTTTTTTAAGTATTGAGTGGGATGTACAAACTAGGCAAATAGCATTTGACCAATTTTATATTAAATTAGTAATAGGTAGAGATTGGTGGTAAAATCAGATTATTATACATAAAAATGCTAATATTTATTTTCATTTCTATATATAATAACATTATCTAATCTTCACACATTTATTTCTTGCCATAGTTTAATAATAATTCCGTTGTAGGAATTGAACGAATTCATCAGTCAAATTTTTTTTTATTAATAGGAATTTGGTTAAAGCATCATATATTGGTTAAAATATCAGATATCATTGTAAGACAATATCAATAAATAAAATTTAACACATGTGAATTTTCTATGTTAAAAAAAAACAAAACAATCGTTAATTTTAGGTCTATTTTTATTACAGTGTGATTGCTATAAAGTTATCATAAATTTGGTGAAAGTTTTATTATAATAAACAGCAAATCATGACCTATCTTGTATTGGTATAAACAACGCGTTATTTTTTAATCAATTAATAGAGATCGATATAGCTGGAGGTGGATTATAGCCCCCAAATATAAGGATCATTCACCTTTCACTCTTTTTTTCTGTACTGAATATTTTTCTTGTCCCCTAAGTACTTGGTAGATTGACAGTACTGACCCGTATTCCTCATGATCTAGTGTGGAAAACCGGAAAAACTAACAGAGCATGTCAACAATTAGAAGGCCAGGAACCCGGAAGAGCTGGTCTGATAAATTACCGGGATACTTTTCCCCCTAAAAGTGCTCTAAATGAATGTTAAAAAAGAAAAAAAAAAGCGAATGCTATTTTTTACATAAGAAAACTTCTTTTTAGAAAGTTTTTTTTCTTTTAGTTACAGGAAAATTCGATATATTTGTGCGTGTGTTTTTTTTTAAATCAAATGCATCAATCAAATGCATTTAAATCAATGTCTTTTGAATATCAAATAAACAAATACAATATAAAATCAAATAAAAATACAATATACTTTTGAAAGGCGACCAGCTAGCCACCATAGGCGGCTATACTAAAAATAATTGATTCGATAATATATTTTATTACATGGCATATAGTATTACCTACGTTTAGTTAGAGTAAAATGTGATTTAATGCGAATTCTGTGAAATGGAATGCAAGAGAAGTTATTTAATCAAGTAAAAAATAATTATAATACTAGTCATTTAAATTTTTTTAACATTTTAGCAGGACTTTGATTTTTATTTAAGAAATACTTTAGTTTTAAAAGTAACGGGTGTCTCTATTTTTTTTAAACTCACCCCATGAGTAAATTTATCTCTTATGTGAAGGTGTTTAAAATTAATAAGGATATTGAATGATGTTTCAGTTTATAATATAATAATAATTCATGATATAATAATTCATGATATAATAATAACTCATGATATAATAATAATTCATAATATAATAATAATTCATAATATAATAATAATTCATAATAAAGAATTATTATTTTTATTCGTTTTTATGTTTTCTCCTTCCTTCGATTTCAACTTGAAATGTTAATTGTAGAATAATCCATTTTATTCTATCATGTATTTTAATTTACATGTTATTGACAATATATGAATTGTTGGTAGTCTGAAGAATGCCTTTTCATTGTTTAGAATGAGCGTAGATTTTTTATTAGTTATCCTATAGAATGTTTAGGCAATGTGTAAAATATTTATTTTTTCATACTTTGCCAGTTTGTCTTCAGTCGTTCTATAGAATGCATAGGCAGTGAGTAAAATTCGATAGAATGCATAGGGCAGTGTATGAAATATTAACCCTTTCATACTTTGCCGGTTTTTCATTAGTCATTCTATAGAATGCCTTGGCAATGAGTAAAATATTAATTCTTTCATACTTTGCCAGTTTGTTGTAAGTTATTTTATAAAATGCTTAGATGTAGTGTAAAACATTCATTATTTTATACTTCTCTGGTTTTTATTAGTCATACTATAGAATGTTTAGGCAATGTGTAAAATATTTATTCTTTTATACTTTGCCGGTTTGTCTTCAGTCATTCTATAGAATGCATAGAGTACTGTATGAAATATTAAACCTTTCATACTTTGCGGGTTTTTCATTAGTCATTCTATAGAATGCCTTGCAATGTGCAAAATATTAATCCAATCCTTTTATTTTTTGTTATTTGTGATTCTATACAATGAATAGGGACTTTGTAGAACAGGGGTTTCCAACTTGCATGAGGCTGGGGGCCACAATTAAAAATACAAATCAAATGACAGGCCGCAACTTTATCAAAATTTTTTGTTGGACTCTTTTATGTTTGAAGGAACATTAAATATTACTGTCAGAGTTTTACCAAGTTGTACAAAACAAAAGTATTGAATTGCAAATTAAAATAAGACGTAAATTTTTAAAAATATTTAATTGTTATTAATAATATTTTTAAAAATATTTAATTGTTAAGAATAATATTTTTAAAAATATTTAATTGTTATTAATAATATTTTTAAAAATATTAAAAATTCGGGCTACAATAACTTAATGTGCACCTATGTATTAAGCAATTAATGTGCAACAGATATCTAAAGAGGTTTGTCTGCTGCAACCACCACATAATAGATATTTACATTTTAAGTTTAAAATTCACAAATGTGTGTGAAAATATTTTCGTCTAAAATGAGGGGTTTAAAAAAGTTAAATCGGAGAATTTCTTCGAGAAAATTTCTGATACACACACGCTACGTTATATTCACAAAATACAAAAAAAAAAAAATTGAAATAAAAAAGAGAAACATACACGATTATTTTTGTATTTGAATAAATACTTTCTTGGATGCAAAACTTGAGAAATAAATTTTCTCGCACCGTTGTCAAATTTCACAGAAACGAAGAAATTAGGTTTTTATTAACGAGAAAAGTATTTTAAACCCATACAGATTTTTTACGAAAATTGTCTGCAAAAAAATGACAACTAATATATTTTAGTACGCGGGCCACAAAAAAAGCTTCGCCGACCGGATGCTGCCCACGTACCGCCAGTTGGAAATCACTGTTGTAGAATGTCGGATTTCATGCATTGACGGTAATATTGTATCGTAAAGATAAACAGCTATTTTATCCTTTCAGATTTTTAAAGCAGAAGTGCACCATAACAAAGCCACTCATGTAAAACACATGTAGATAAATTAACGAATTACTGCTAAATATTTTGAACATTCCACTCCCTTATGATGTCATCTGTATCAGGACATTATGGACTGTTCGAAGCTATTCGTTACAAGCGTCACCGTCAAGCCATGCTCCTAGCAGAGGCTGGCATAGATGTTGATTGTAGAAATGATAAAGGACAGACACCCCTCATATATACAGTTGTGACTGTTGATGACTGCAGCAGAAGTAGAAATAAACTCGTCAGATTGTTTTTGGAAGCTGGTGCAGATCCTAACGCTGCAGATTGGAAGGGTCTCACGGCGTTGATGCATGCCTCAATTTTGGGGCAAGTAGAAACTATCAAGGCTTTGCTGGAATGTGTAAGTATATATATTCCATACATTTAGTATGATCAGTATTAAATTCAAAGTTAGCAATGTTTCTAGCTTTTCTGTCTGAAATAGGTTTGTGAAAAATTCTTCTGTCCAAAGTTAGATTCCGTATGAATTCAATTTAAAAAAAAATTAGATATTAGAAAGAAAGTATGAGTAAAATATCAACTACCTTTTAATTATTTAACTATTATTATTAAGTGTTGATCCTTGTGTCTTAAAAGGGTATTTAATATAAATAAACTAAATTAAAAATGGTTTATTTCCAAAACCCTTTAGTCCAAAGCTAGATTTTGTACAAGTTTTTCTTTTAAAATTTAGGAAATTGTCAAAATAAGTAAACTATGTTGCAAAAAACACCTTTTAAGAAAAATGACATGATTAATTTCAAAATTTCCGAGATTAGCTCCTCCCTCAATAAAAAACTAAGTAAAAATTATTTTAGTTTTTTATCAATTATTATTTTTAGACATAAATCCATACAAAAATAAATCGAGTTAAAATAAAATTGTTAAGTTTAACGGAAGAAAAGTTTTATTTATAAATTTTATTTACAAATTATTATTAATGTAGTTTGTTTGAGACAACATAATAATGCATTTTATTATTATAAACAAATATACAAAACCTTTTCTTAAACTGTAATAAATTATAAAATGTTCACAATCTAAAATTTCTTAAATGCAAGACTGCACAAAATCATAAACATTACTTAAAATAAAACTTAATAAGAAAAAGGTGAATTTATCTATAATTTTACAAATCTACTTCAAAGTTACAATACAAATATTTTATTATTTTTATTATAATGTATTTCATTATTTATAAACATAATTTTAAAATTCAATGACTCATATAATTTTAAACCCACATTAGTATGATGTTTATGCTAGAACATCTTATTTCATTTAATAATTTTTAAAATAAATAAAATAATTAGTGATATAGTTATGTTTTATACGCGATGGCTGCACAATGGGTGCATATTGAGTTATAACTATTTTCATATCAATACATGTCCAGTCCAAAATCAATTTAGACTCACTAGAACTCCAATCCTGATTAATTTGACTTTATTTTGATTATCTTTTAACGAAAAAATAATAGGAAAAAATTAATTGTTCTATACTTATAGGACAGCTCATCATCATCATCATAGTTGGCCACACAGCCCAATGTGGGCCAATGCCTTCCTCTGAAGATTTCTCCATAACGACTTCGGATTTATCTTTGATCTCCAATTCTTTTCATTAATTGCAAGAAAATCAGATCCCACCGAATCAGCCCCTCTCAACCGGGGACTTCCACTGTTTCTTGTTCTAGTGGGTCTAAAAAGCAATATATTTTTTATTGTATTGTCATCAGTCATTGGAATCACCATCCAATTTGTTCTATTTTTCATGTATTTAATAACATCAGGTTGTTTATAAATCTTGTACAGATTTTTTTCATATAGGACAGTTCATGTGTATTCTAAACAACATAGAATGATAGCAACTATCAAATCTAAAAGATCTACACATCGATTTGATGTTAATTTGATTAGCATTTAATGAAAAAATAATAGCAATAAGAGTCTATGGTTATCAGATATTTCATCGGATATTTCTGAAATCAGCTCTCAGTTGAATAAACGTTTGAACAGCTATGTTTCTTTAAATATCAGTAAAAAGTTGATATTTTAAAGCATTTTATTTTTTAAATTATAAACAACATAGAATGCCAGCAAATCAAAAAGATAATATAGACACTGCTTGATTAGAATAAAAAAAAAATTATTCTTTAAGTTAATAGTCAGAAACTACTTGTGTTGATTTGTTCAATACAATTAAAGGATAAATGCATTCAGTAATTTACACTTTGCCTAGTAATAACTTATATTATAATTACACTTAACTATATAATATTATAACCGGCGTTGAACAGCTGACCCAATTCTGAGTTAACGATTATCAAGGTTCAAGAAACTTCTTAATCAAGCATTGAGACAAACTAACCTTCGTGGAAGACTTTTTGGTGGAACTAACTTGCATTTGCGCTATATGGAGAGGAAAGGCTTGAAAATTTCCCGCAATTTGTATGTTTAAAATATTTTGGGGTTAGATTTCAGCTTCTTTGGTAGTAAGCCTCTTTACGGCAGTGGTTAAACTCCAGTTATCCGAAAAATAGAACTAACTGTACTTTAATGCAAGTCATTTCTATCTTATTTTAATAATAGTACATTTACAGTCTCTTTCTTTGGCAAAATATGGAGCACAAAAATGAGACATGTAAGGAAAAAAATACATTCATTTGACATTAGAAACACCTTTCATATCTCAAAAAAAAAAAGCAAAAAAAGCAAATTGACTTTTTATTCAAATAAAATTTTCTTACATAACCAAAAAATATTTGTTCTAAGCTACTATCAAGCGAAATTTACTGCCTCTGAAAAAACGCATTTGATTTAATGACGTAGTGTAGTTGCCAACAGTTTAAAATCGAAGCAAATCGCCATTATAAACTATTTTACTTTCTTAATAAATTGCCTCTTGCTTTAAGAAGCAAAAGCCAATAGCTATGATAAGCTATAAAAAAAAAATAAAAGAAATAAAAAAAATAAAAAGAATTGGCGGTTTGTAAATTTATATATGTGGTATCTTCGTACAAACTCCCTCTTTCCCACTAATCAATATTTGTTACACTACGAGTCATTGACCTTCATTGTATACAAAACTTGGTATTTATTTATGACACGAGGCCTTTTATTTAAAAAATTGCATGCAAGTTCATCATTACCAGTATTTTGAAACTAAAAGCATGATATCTTAGTTCATAATTGTTTCAAAGAATTAGAGCGAGCACAATGCTAACACACTTTACATTATTATCACGAACACTTTCAAATCATTTGTTGCATATTTTTATTCAAACTCAAACCTTTTTTCTACACAACTTTGAAATCCTTATATTCATTTTTAACAATACAAAGAATGGAAGTATTTTCCAAAATGAAATGTATGCTTTTTTTGGTAATAAATATTTAATCAAAATGTTAATTAATTTTGAAATAATTAATAAAAGCTGTTTTAATTTAAATTATGTGCTTAAAGCTAAAAATAAAATTTTTACACATGTTTGGAAATTTAAAATAAAAGAAAGAAAATCAGCTTTACAGTTGAATAAATATCATAAATATCAGTAAAAAGTTGATATTTTAAAGTATTTTATTTTTTAAATTTTATTAAGCATGTAATAAAATATTAAAATAAAATTTACATCATGAAAATCTTTTTTTATAGCGGCGGATGAGGATTTCTAGTCTTTAAACCTTAGGCGAAAGAAGTCCTCCCAATTCTTTTAAATGCTTGAAAACTTTTCCTAAATTGATTGAATTTCATAAAATACTTCCTATATAATAAAAATAATTGTACTGAAGTAACAGATTTTTGAAACATTTAATCTTTCCTTGATGATAAACAGCAATTGTATACCAAATTTTTCGAACTTTGATGAGCATTAACACTCAATTTAAATTATACAAAGAAATTCTGTACTTAGACTGTACTTGGACTTTCTGTACTTGGACTTTCATTTTTTTTTTTTTTTTACTTTGCTATGGTAAGAACCCACATCTTCCTTGTCACAATTTTCTGAAGTCAAAATAACAGTTGAAATAGAAGTGTTGAAGCTTTGCTGGAAAGAACTATCGCTTCGATAGTTTATGATCAAATGAAGTAAAAACTATTAAACAGGTTTTTTTTCCCTGTAATGTTTACAAGAAACACATCTTAGTTAATTTGTTTATTGCACATGTTTTTTTTTACGTGGAAAGTAAATTTTAAGTAACATACATTGTTTTTTTTTTTTTAATTTTTTTAATTTACTTTTTTTATTAACAACTGTTATTTTTGCAAATCGGAACCTACAGCAAACTTTTTGTTCTAGCAGAAGATGACTATCATCGATAGGTTTCGAAGAATATAAAATTTTAAAAAATTCAGAAAATTTGTTTAGTGATTATAATTCTATTTAGATCTTAAAAAATATTCTTAACATGCCTTAATTTCACTATGCAAAACATATCAATACCATTGCAGCAATTTCTTCAATTTTATGTTTTCTTCTACGGTATACTTAACAAAAAAATTATTTTACTTCTCCGAACGAAATCCAATTATAGCTTTCAAAGTTCACCTTTATGTCAATTATGAAAAATGATATCTCTCCAGCTTTGTCCTCAACTAACTCAGTAAAAAGTTCTTAAAATAGCTGTTGAAAATTATACGAGTTAAGTTACAGTAGACAGTATGGTTAAGATAAAGTGTATCGCCTTGTTTTATGACTTTTGCTTTTTCGCTTAACTGACTTTGACTAACACTTTCAAAACATTTCCTGAATAAAGTGGAAATTTTTTTTCACTGTAACACGTATCCATATTTTGTTTCTAATTGCGGAAAATTTTCTTTTCTACTTACATTTAATTTTCAATGGGTACTTATCGATTATAGAGATCATGTGTTAGCAACTGCTGTTCCAACTTGTCACCAAAACGAACATTGGTTCATATAAAAATAATCAACCAATAAAAGCTGAATTTTAATATCAAGATATATTTTTCAAAATTATTGAAATTTATTTACATACGCGATAATTTTTCAAATATTTCACACAAATTTTTACTATCCAAATAAAATTGATCAACACTCACAATATTATATTTAAAAAATAATCCATATATATATATATATATATATAAGCATTAATAAAGAATGATTGTGACGGAAAATCATTATCCACGATTTTGGGCCAAATAGAAGCGGACAGCATTCAAATTTTTCCAATGAAATTTTGTTCTTATTGAAACATCAAAAATTTTCCAGTGAATATGATTAGATATCATAATATATATTTATATCATAATAACAATTTTTATAATAGGTACAAATGTTATTACTAACAGCAAAAGAATTTCACTCCAAAACAAAAAAATTAAATTCCTTTTAAAA